TTTTAATCTACGAGGCATACTGGAAATTAAGTTGCTTATCGTTTCCATTGGTATACGATCTCATTCTTCCACTAATGCATCTGCCATTTCTGCGAGACTTTCCGGAGACCTCTCGCGAGAACGTACCCTTCTCCCTAATTCATTCCACTAATGTGCTATAGAATTCATATCGGGGCTTCTCCCAGGCCATTGTAATGTGGTAATACCAGTAGCTTCTAAGAAGTTTCGCACTATTGCTGCGGTGTGTGGTCGGGCATTATCCTGCATCAATATATAATAATTGCCCACTAACTCTGCATTAGGTAAGACATACTGCTCTAAAATGTCAATGTGTCTTTCCATTCATTGAAATCCCTCCCCACACCATAACGGACCCACCATCAAAACTTCCGCATTCTGTTATTAAATTTTGATTAAACCGTTCACCAGTTCTTCTCCACACTCTTTTTCTTCCATCCACCATGTTGAGGCAAACTCTTGACTCATCCGTAAACAAGACATTGGACCATTCAGGAATATTCCAATGTCCATAATTTTCAGCAGCACGATGTTCGGGCAATAATTTGGGACCTCTTGCAGGTCTCCTAGCTTCTAAATTAACTTCTTTTAAACGTCTACATACCGTCTGCTTACTTCTGCAACATTACGGATTTGGCGAAGATCTTGCTGAACATTTACCGCAGTATTTGATCGATTCCGTGAAATCCGCAATCTCAAGAAGCGATCATCTCTTGGAGAAGTTTTTCGGGGGCGACCAGAACCGACCCTCCGAGAGGTGTTTGTTGGTACTTGCGGATTGCTGTACGAGCAGTTGCTCTACGAGCAGTTGCTTCATGAAATCCCACTGCACGAGCGGCGTAACGTTTACTACGCCCATCGTTTACTAACGCAACTAATCTTGCTACTTGTTCAGGATTTATTTGAGACATTTTATGTAATTTTAGTCAATAAAACAAGACTTTTAATTAATGACACAACGACAAATTGTCAAATATGGAGGAATACGACAAATTAGTTGCTATGGCAACGGCATTTGTTTTTTTAAAGACAATGTGTTGAGTACTCTGATCCTTCAATGAATGTAATTTGTGGGATAAGTGTAAGGTATCAGCAAAAAAGCTGTAATTTGGAAAATTTTAGAGATAAATCAATAAATAAAAAACAAAATGCTCGCAAAAAAAGCCTCTTTCGTATAGGGTGTAAGCACTTTGTATACCATTACTCAATCAACACACAGGGTGAGTCAAAAATTAAGAATAAATCATGGTTCGAGTTATTCCACCACCATCAAGGACGTTTTGAAAAAATTGTCACCTCTTAATTTTTTTTTAAGACAAATGCATTACCTACCAACAAATAAAAAAATCGGCCTACTATTTTTTTTTTCAAGAAGATAGGTCAAATATCAAGTGCGTCACTTTTTTTGGAACTGAGTGTATATAGTTCAGCAAAATATATATGTCATTGTAAATTTCTCAGAGTTTCCATCTTACCAAAGCACCTACTTCATACAAGCTACCTACTGAAGGCATAAGCTCGGGCATAAGCTAACATGTGATTGCATTTCTCTGTGAGCTTCGAAGTTTAGAAATTCGAGATTTCCATTATCGATCAATTTTCTATTGATACGGTTATTAGCATTGTACTGTTTGTGCAATGATCATGAAAAGATGAGCAGAACTAATTGAAATTTGTATGACAAAAGCTTGATATTTATCTTTTTCAAAACTGACCTGACATCAACATTCAAACTTTTTCAGTCTTCTACTACTAAGCGGAATTGAGTGCTATGTTGATGCAATGTTTGATCAATCACTGAAACGGACGTTCAGCAATATTGCAAAGGTGAAGTTTGATAATGTGGCGTTGCAGCAATATTACATGTTGCTGTGACATTGCTGGAACGTTACATTTACAAATCTACATTTGCAATATTGCTGAACGTCCGTTTCAGTAATTACTACAACCTTACATCGACATAGCTTCCAAATTTGCTTAGTGGGCAGATTTTTCTCGTTGGATGTCGTTGGTTATTCTTTTCCTATTCTCGCAGCCATCAACCTCCAAGTCTATTTCAGTATTCCTTCCATTGTCCACCAAGAAGGGAAATCAAAAGAGCAAGGGAGTTTGTAGACCACGTTTCATCTTGGAATGTACTGGCTAAATAAATTCATAAGCGATGCTAAAGGCTTACCAGGGTCGGTTTTTCAAATCCGTCAACTACTTATATGCGAAAGAACCACTCCTACCTCCTATATATACGCCATCCTGACTTGCATAATTCGCTAGAACTAATATAGAAATTTCAATAGAACAGAATGCACGATTATGTTATGTTCAATCCAAAGATTTTCAACTTTTCATTTTCAATTCATTCAGTGGTGCGATTCTTCAACAGATTTCATTATTTATTTAGTATGGTAGGTATACGATTCTTCAATAAATTTCAATAAATGACCTTTGTCGTTTGGCACTGGAGCTCTAGTACATATTATATGGTATCATTATAAGATATTGGCTTCACCTGACATATTTTGTAGTAACACATCCGTTCCATGGGTATGTTGAAAAATATCTCTGGAGCCACCGCTATCCCGAACTGAAGGCATTGTGCTTCTGAACCTTCAATACTTCGTGGTATTAACCAAGAAAGTATTGTTAGATATACGGACCATAACTATTCTATTAGTATTTTTTCAATTAAGGTATTTCCAATATTTGATAGATTTAATTCAATAGTGTGGAGAGTGAGTATCTTCGAAGAGTTTTCGTCTACTGATTGCGGTTGATAAGGGATGAAGTTGTTGAAACTTATGATTTTGTGAAATATATAGGTAATTCCTACTAAAGAGATTCTCATATATTTCATCGTTGGAGATAAATAAAGAACCGAGGTATCCTCATTTATAGTACTACTGTAATCTGCACAATTCCTTTTTATCTTATCAATATAAATCATTTCTATAAGATAATATACAATTTTCTTTCGAATAAATTCATTATTTCTTCAACAATAACACTGTAGACAACGTTCCGATTGCTCCCTCATAGCTGATTTCCATTAGAACTGTATCTGAAGGTTACATTTTTTGTGAGTAATTTTGCAGAATATAAGAGTTTGACCTCAATGCATTTTTGATTTCATTTGAGCTTTCAAAAAAATATATTATATTCCTCTCTAGGAAGTTGAATGTCAACACAGGCTACCATTTGAAATTATTTCAAAACATACAGAGTGTCCCCAAAAACCACAAAACAATAAAGTTATACTTTTTTCAATTGAACGCCCTATATATATATTATCTATTTCATTTTGATATTCCCCCTGATGAGCTGATTTCAACGACTCATCAAACTTGGGGTCTAGCAGTAACAATTACTGAGATATAGGGTGTGAAAAATCGATATTTTCCAAGTTCAAGAATTGTTTGTGTCGAAACTATTCTTAATTGGTCAAAACGGTTTACATGTCCCTATCTCACCTTTTCATCCACTATCAATTGATATTCGATTAAAACAAATACTGGGTGGTTCAGATAATTGAGATTTCTGACTACCCTGTATCTATTTTAATAAAATACCAAATGATAGTGAATACAAAATTGAGACAGGGATATGTAAATCATTTTGACCAATTATGAATAGTTTCCACACAAACAATTCCTGAACTTGGAAATCTCGATTTTTCACGCCCTATATCTCAGTAATTATTACTGCTAGACCTCAAGGACGATAGGTCGTTGAAATCAGCTATTCCAGGAAAATCTCGAAATGAAATAATACGTAGGGTATTCCATTAAAAAAAGTATAACTTCAGTAGATTGTTTTTTTTTGGGACACCCTGTATGTTTCGAAATAATTTCAAATGGTAGCCTATGTTGACATACAACGTCCTGAACAGGAAGAATTTCAACAAGATGAGTGGTTAGCCTTCTAATGACCGAGGCGTTACTTGTGGCCCACCCTGTATACTGAGTGGAGAATTTAACTGAAATAAATTCGCTACTGGAGAATTGCATGATTTTTCTCAAAATTCGCTAGACACGTCAATGTTCAAATAAATTTACCCAGATTTGGCGAGCAATATATATATATATTTTTTATCGCTTGGAGCGCACAAAAGGGAATCCCTAATGTTCAATATGGGGAATATAACCCTTCAGGGGTTGCTGGAACGCAAACCTATGGCTTGCGACCCCTCATTGGAAAGCTGGTTGAGAGAGGAATCCAGCATACTGATCATATTTCAGATTGCAGTATGTTTGAGGTCTTTCAACACACATTTTGAGCGATTGATACTTTGAACAAAAATTCAATCTCTAAATTACATCTCATTTAACCATAGAACGTATGAGAAACTTGAATTTGATTAGTTAGCTGAATGCCTGTTTTCACCAGCTTTCCAATGAAGGGTCACAAGCCAAAGGGTTACATTTGAAAAAATCATGTTGAGGGTGGTATCAGCTTCCCCTGGATGGATATACTCTTGATATTGCTTGCGAAAGGTAGGTGAATACAATAAATCGTTGACTTATGTCTGGAATATTCACCTCCTGGCTAAGGAATTTAGTCCAGTTAAAGTCTCCACCTTGTATGGTTATGAGCCTGAATGAATTGAAGCTGTGAAAATATACTATAACTTTATATATTTCATTACTTTTCTTGTTGAATGGGTCTTAGAGCCGATATTCTGATCGAAAAAAGTCAAAACTGCATATTCCAACTTTTGTGTGGAACACAAATTTTTAGGTCATTTATCTTGGGCTGTATCAGATCTGAAAGAATCGCATCAGACACGAAATTGTATAGAGAAGAAGGTCTAATCAACTTTTGGACTAAAACCGAAATTAGTCGATGAATTTTCAAGTTTTTCGAGCACCACACTTCTAGCATAGGTCGTTCAGAGCTGTGAACTTGGTTCTTTTACTATTGAGACATGGCCTAATAACATACAGAAAAATTGTGGAATGTGCCAATGTATTGCCCTATTTTTTGTGTAGGGTCAGCGACCTAGCACGCATGTAATAAAGTTTGAATTTTTCACTTTAGTGTCGAATGGTGCAATCTGACAGTCTGGACGGTGTGACTACTTAAATTAAATTTGAGTCGACAACACTGCTATAGTGAGCCAATCAGTACCTGGCCACTCGACTTTCGACCTTGTAGATTATAATATCCGAGCACCCAAGTTTCCTAAAATTTCAAATCTATAATGAGAATGCAGTCGATAGATGGCTTCGATCTACACTGATTACGATAAAATTTTATAGCATATCGATCGAAAATTGTGCAGTTTTGTAAACAACGAACTTCCAAGCATACGTTATACGTGTCGATCATGGCAGAAATTGATGGAAACATGGTTCTAGCGCAAGCACTGAAAAAACAAGTTAGTATAATACCAACTTACATGAGCATTTATTCAGACAAGCTTGGGAAATTGTTACTTACTCCTTACTTATTACCTATCTTCCTATCTTCTGATACCTCCTTCATGTTTATATGATGATACTCAATCGTATTAATCGTAATAACAACATGAACATTATCGACGTTTGGACTTTGGTATTGGTTGGGAGAGTGGAGGTGGTGACTGGAGAGTATAATATTAGATATAATTTCTATGAGCAGGAGTAGTCAGGCGGCTGACGGTGTTGCCAACTCGGTTTTCCAAATATCTTGGAATTGTTGGAAATCCAGAAAACTCAAATATTCACCAAACCAAAAACCAGATGATTCATGTTATGTCGTTTGGGTTTTTCAATACGTATATATCTGTATGCATGAGTTTTTGCATTGGAGATTTCCGGAGAATTCCTAATGGATTTCCGGAATAGACGAAACCAAGTTGCAGGTATTTACTTAAAAATCCGAGAGATAGACTATTTGTTGCAACTAGGCAAGCCTCGAGCCAAGCTGACATTACCCTAGATTCACGGACTATACATTAGCATTTGCATCGGTAGGTACATAGCTTTCCTAGACGAGGAGGGCGAACTAGTCTTCAGAGCTACCTAGTAGTAAGTAGCAGAAGTGCGAATGTGATTTTGTATAAGTAGATAGGTTGTGTGAACAAACCATGAATTTGCATGCGTCGAAAACATACCTCTTCGTTTACAGAATAAATAAACGGAAAGAATCCAATGTTCCCTGTGACTGATATGAGGTTTAACATGCCCAAATATATTGCGAATGCCCTAAAATCTCATAATCTTGAGGTTTCTCAACACTTGTCAGTGAGACATTGAGCCACTCTGAGAATTCAGGTAGTTCGATAGTCTACATATTTATGTAGTGCAACGATTTCGTATAATCGGTCGTTAATACTATTTTTCTACTCACATAACTGATATGGCATTTAGCGTACGGATATACCACGCTAAATGATCGATGTATCACGGATTGACTATCTGTGATTTATTCAATATATTAAACACGTAACCATGGCAGAACAATTTCTTAGAGTCTTTCGGGTCCTTCACGAAAAGTGAAAGTGAACAATACCCATTTATGAATCTGGCAGCAAAATTGAAATATCTAACTTTTTTCTTCTTTCATCTCTTGGAGCGCACATAGACTTATCAGCAGCAGTCCCTTAAGTACTTTTTTCACTGCCTTCGCAGACGATTTAGCCCAGTGAGCACAAAAACATATCAGAGATGTTGGAACTCGTGTTGGAAGTACGAGATGTCGAGACATTGAACCTCCACTGCGATGTTCTGTTCACACATAAATAGAACTTTCCTAGAACAGCCAATGTCCGCCGTAGGCGGCGTTTGTAAAGATATCCTTGGAATGTCACAATAGTTATTTATGCAACAAGTGCAAAAAGTGAATGTTTATTGCACGAGTTGCATACAACATTTTTTTCTACGTTCATGCAAAAAGCGAAAAATGATTTATTGAGGTGCGGCACTAGGTGTAGGAAAATGAAAAACGCATCTTGAATACTTTATCATCAATATCGATTTGCATTGAAACAGGAACTAATACGTTACGAACAGTTTAACTCAAACTTTATTTTTATACTCTCAATGTTGAAAGTGAATGAACAATTATGGTGCAATTTTCAATATGAATATATGACGTTTCTATAACCACAGTGCAATATAAAAAATGTTTGTCATGATGACAGCACGTTGAAGTAGAATGACAGATGAGTGCAGTAAAAACTGTATTGCACTAAGTGCAATAAAGAACTTCTTTCTCCACAAAATATAGTTCAATAAAGTTCTGCTTTTTGCATGAATGTAGAAAAAAATACATATTCCCTGTTTTTTAAAGCCTTTTTATGGACATAACATAACCTTTTCGAAGCGTTTTGCGCACATTCAATCGCTGCAAATAAAACATTCCTGGTGGAAATATATTTAAGGAGAAAAGAATAGAATTTAGAGATAGCTCTTCCCCCCTGGGGAATCGAACCCACTCAATAGTGATAGAATTTTTACAATCCCAACACCTTCCACTGAGCTATAGGAATCATATCGATAAATGGTATGAATAAAAAGATGTCAACATGCATGCTAGGGAATAATAGGGTGAGTCAGGGAAAATATCATAAATATTGATATTGATATACTTAATAACATCCATATCATATTTTTATACGATTCTGTATATTCTCAGAACGTTCTGAGAAGATATGTCGAATTGAATGTTCATGGAATATTCGTTGCCAGGATGAAATAAAACTTTGTCAGAATATTCGTAAATTATTCTGTGCTGTTTGGGATATTATTACGAATTATGGACGACGACACGTCTGGTCTTTATGAGTTCTGAGAAAAATTGGAGGTCGTCGGTGGTAACCTGATAATGGAATGCGAACAAGAACAACAGAATCGGAAAACAATTAGAATTCATCGCATGACGTGACGCAAGTATCAGAAGTTATGGTGGGTCAAACAAAGAAACGTCTTATAAGAACAAAAAATCATATTTCTAAAACATTCCAAAACATCCCAGGGATACCTCTCAGTAGGCACACAAAGAAATGCCACAGCATAACAAAAACAATACTTCAATATCCTCCAGAGACCTCTTTGGGGAATGCATATTATGTCTCAAAAAAACATATCCATGCCAAAATTTTCAAAACATCCCAAAACATTCCAGCGATGTTTGTGCTCGCTGGGAACTATCTTGTCTAGTGGTGAAACCCAAATAGAAGCCCTTGTAGTAATCAAAAATAATTTCGATACAGTGGCTCACTATACTTTCAGAATAAAAAACTGACTTTTAACCATCAGGAAAAAACATTCTTCTGAAATATATTGGTAAATCAATTAAACAATTGAGTAACGTCATTCAAACTTTTAGGCATTCACCTAAAATTGTCTAGATTGGAAATGACACGTGTCCGCAGTAATTAAAAGGTGCGCAAGTAACTCGTTTGCATTGAAGAGATTAAAACATTGTCAACGACAACATCAAACAGAATTATTGTTCTACAAAAAGGGCAATAAGATATATGTTTTGGCTAGCTTATAGATCATCATGCAAATCCACATTCGTTAACAACAAAATTCTTACTCAGCCTTGTTTATACATTTTTGAAATAATAAAATTTGTAAAGCAAAATATGACAGACTTTGTGTATCAAAATGCTACTTATACATATCCAACACGATATGGGTATAATTTACAATATGATATTCATACATTAGAATTGTACAAGTCAAATCCTCTTCATATGGGCCCAGTCTTATATATATAATAAACTGAAGAATGGAATAAACCACTTGACTAGTTTGAGAAAGTTTATGTCAGCTATCAGATCAATACTGCTAGCAAATGCGTTCTATTCCGTTGAATAGTACCTACAATTCTATTTTCAGAATCGGTAAATGATGTGTGAATGGTGATGAGCGCATGTAAGTATGAACATATTATGAGGATAGATGGTTGGTCACTAGTTCAATGTGATAATGAAAATTGTTAAACACTTCGATGACTTGTCCAACATCATAGCTGTATGTTTTTCTTGGATAAATAAAGGTATTCTATTATGTTCTATTCATTATTAGTATCAATTAGTAGGTATACGTCGGCCAAATTATTGGAAAACTGTTTGAAGAGCAGATAACAGGATTATCTCGAAGGTATCAACAATCTGAGTAGTAATCAGTTTGTTTTTCGAAAAGGAAGGAGTTCAAATGAGGCAATGTTTCATTTAATAAGCAATATCAAAAGCAATTTAGATAACAATAAGAAATGTATAGAGGTATTCATAAACCTCGCAAAGGCTTTCGATACAGTCCCGCTTGATGGACTGCTTGAAGTTCTTGGACATTATGGGGTGATGGGCTCAGTGTTGAAAGTCTTCAAGAGCTATCTGTCCAATGAATCACTATAGAAGTTGAAATTCGAAATGTCTACAGTCATTCCAAAATGATTTGAATTGGAGTTCCTCAAGGTATAGTACTTGGACCGTTGCTTCTCATTACAAACATAAACATTTTGCTTCGAACTGTCGATGTAGGGCGTAATATCATATGCTATGCTATCTATTCATACAGTACCTCTTCTCAATGATTCAACATGGGAAAATGTAAAACAGATCCGAAAACGGCATAAGAATTGCTAAAAACTGGTTTGACCTAAATAAATAATCATTAAATGTGAATAAAACGACATTCATCATGTTTTGATGTCATGTACGTTTCAGGTATCCCCAAGGCTTCACAAGCGGTTCAAGTCATAGTTTTTTCCTAAAACCAAAACTAAACAATGAAAAATTGAATTCAAGCATGTTCTGGATTGATCACATTCAGTAATGCGCAGACTCACCAAGGGGCAATCGGCGCCATATTGGTTCTCCTTGCTGGAACAAAATCATAACACAGTTTTTCCCTTCTCCTCTGTGCTTTAGTTTGGTGGTAGCATGTCGTGAACTACTCGAAGATCGAGTCGAACATGGAGTTTCCAGTTGCCCATCCTTTCAGATGTTTGAGCTGGACTTTGAAGAGTTGCTCAATTTCCTTCCCCCATCCCCCTTTATGTGCATTCAGCAGCCTACTCAAATCTCCACCGTTCGAAATCCGTACATCGTTGAAGTGAAATGAGGGGGTAAATTTGATGGGATCTATTATCTCCTTACCCAGCGCTGTATCAGCCGAAGTGTATCCTCTGACAGCCACTCCTTTCCATTATATAACCCACTGCCCCTATGAACAACATGAGTTAAGTGGAACCATCCAAGCCTTACGACCACGCCACGTACCTCCGGGTCTTCCTCATCACTTTCCACGATATCTCGCGCCTTGAGGTATAGGGGTTGATCGAACGTGACAAATCGATGTTTTTGTTCAGGACTTCAAGATTGTATATTCTGTACAGCATGTACTTTTCTCAACTCCCAAATAGTTATCAAAGAAAATAAGAAAA